CCACTGTAGTCGTTGCTGCCATCTAGTGGTGGTCTATATGGTTGCTAGCAGTCAAAAATGAGGGCACATAATCACTTGAGTGGTTGTCAAGAAAAATATCCTGACTTCCTAGAGAGGCTATAAACAGGCTCTCTCCTACTCCTGGAAGCCTTGGTGGCCCTGTGGAAGGTTGGAGTCTTGTCTAGAATATTTCTATCACGAATCGCAGGCCCTGATACTTTTCTCAGGCCAGGTTTCATCTCCTTTTGAACTATGGCATTAGAGCTGCCTAAGAAATGTTGCTGCTAGAGTCAGAAGCAAGATGGTCCATGTCTCCCCCACCCTTCCCCATTCCACATGCAGAAACCAACTGGATTAGCAGTTAAATCTTTCTTCAGCATTGACAATGAAGCCCCACAGCCTTTACAGGCAGGAGGCTGGCTTCATGGAGGCCTAAAGGAGGGGCCTTCTCTCATTTTTCCCTCCTAGCCTTTTCCCCGTTAGGTGGTTGCCTCCTTTTGCCTGGCGGTAGAGCCAGCTGGGAACAACATACTCCTGCTGCCTGCCACCAGCTTGATAGGGCTGTAGTTGCAGGCGTGGACACTCACTGAAGTCTCTCACCTTGGAAGTAAGTTTCCAGCAGGGGATGAATTCAGGTGAAAAATGTAAGGACCCAACTAAGCAGAGAAAGAAGTTGCAGATCTGACTTCCTTTATCTTCTTGTCATTTACTTCCGTTGTAACCTCAGTAGTAGCCTGTGGCTTTAAAGCAAGCCTTTCCTTCTTTGCATACCCAGCTCTCCTTAAAGGAGCTTAAAGCTGAATTTGGTCAGCAGGGATTTAAATTTAGCTTCCCCCAGTTAAAGCTGGCATTCCACCTGATGCTGCACCCTGACTCTGGGAGATCATCAGGAATGGGAGTTTGAACACTGCATGACTTTGATCCTGCCAGGAAGGCAGAGACCATCTAGACCAGGGCTTTGCAACCTTGGCAACTTTAAGAGGTGTAAACTTATGGCTGGCTGGGGAATTCTGGGAGTTGAAGTCCACACCTCTTAAAGTTGCCAAGGTCGAGAAATACTGATCTAACATTGAGGGGGGATTTTTCCCCCCCACTTAATAACAGG